CCTGGAGCCAGGTGGGAGAAGAGAGCTGAGTGGCCTCATCATTGCTATGTACACTTACACACTTTCGCTTAAGCTTCTCCTTTTCATGTGGTACTCCCAGCCAAAAGTATACTTAGCCTCTCCCAGGACAGAGACCCTGTGTTTTATGGTCTTCAGAAATAAACCTCTAGTTTTCTCCCAGGATTGAGGAGGGTTAGTCACCTAGATCTATGGCATGGAAGAGGAGAGGATCAGGGACTTTGTTTCTTAAGCAGATTTGTCAACAATTCTTTTGCTTTAATTCCTTCTTTGTCACCACTTCTAGAGATACCATGTTCTGCTGATTCTTGAGCCATTTGGAAGTTTTGCAGAAGTAATTGGGTTGTTTCCAGGCTTCCCATCAGCGGGCCTGCCACATATTTATTTGTTTTCTAGTTTCCAAAATTCTGTTGTTTTCTTTCTTGCTTTCCATTTCCTTGACAGTTAGTTCCTTAACAACAGCAACATAACTGTTTTCAATGGAATTTCAGGAAGGAGCCAACACTCCATCTTTAGCTGGAAGTCTTTTCCTTCATTTATCTTTCTCTGAACTTTAGTAGTTTTCTTTAGCCAGGACTTCCCATTGGCCAAGGAATTATAACAACAGTGGAGAACTTTAATTGCATGGGGTAGAAGGGTAGGGAGAGCCCGTAGATAGAAACCAGGAGACTTTTTTCTGGTCTTGACTTGTGTGACCTTAAGTAAGCCATTTAACTTTTCTGAACCTCAGTTTCTTGAGGGAGCTAGATTAGATGGTGACTGAGATTCTTTTCAGCTTAAATGGTATGATTCTGTATAAGACTAGTAATTACGCATGTAAGTCAAATAAGGTGATTTTATTTTATTTTTTGAGACAGGGTCTCGCTCTGTCACTCAGACTGGAGTGCAATGGCATGGTCTTGACTCATTGTAACTTCTGTCTCCCGGGGTCAAATGATTCTCCTGCCTCAGCCTCCCAAGTAGCTGGGACTACAGGCACCCACCGCCTTACCCAGCTGGTTTTTGTATTTTTAATAGAGATGGGGTTTCACCATGTTGGCCAGCTGACCTCAAGTGATCCACCTGCCTTGACCTCCCAAAGTGCTGGGATTACAGGTGCGAGCCACCACGCCCAGACAGATAACATTTTTTTCCCCAGGACATTCAACATGAATGTTTTTTTCTGCCCCTGATGTTGAGACCTTTTGCTTCTAGAACGGCATATAAGTCCCACCCCATTTATCCTCGTGGGGCTTCCAAAAGTCTGCCGTCCATTTGTTAACAACGGTATTGCTCACTGTGTTGGAAGCTACATGTTTGCCCATGGTCCGTTTACGAGAGCATTGCTTGCTCTTCCCTGGTATCCATACTTATAAGTAGTCAGTTTCACCCTTGAAAATGTGTTGCACAAAGATGAAAAGACAATTTCCAAAGAAGGGTATCTGCATTCTGACAGTTTCTTAGGAAAGCAGATGAAGTGTCAAAATTTTAATATGGAATAGGGAAGACCAACTTAGACGCAAAAGGGGCAAGAGCTTTCCTGTGACTCCTCAGCTTAGAGTGGCTATTGGGTTAATGAGTTCTGTGATTCAGCTGGTTACTGAGAGGCTGCTATAGACACCAGGAGTGGTAGGAAGAGATGCGGAGCCCAGTGTCTTCCTTTAATATAGTGGCTCTCAGTTCTACCTGTACATGAAATCATGATGCCCAGCGCTCCACCCAAGACCAACTGAATAAAAAAATCTGGAAGTGGAGCCTAGACATCTGTATTAAAATGAAATTCCCTAGGTGATTCTAATGTATACGGAAGGTTGAGAATCATTCCTTAATAGCTAAATGAGAATTAAAAATGTGTACATTAATTGCTGTAGACATATATGATTAGTTCTATGATGAGTGATAGAAATTATGGCACAGGAGTTGGAAGGTTTTTAATTAATTGAAGTCAGCTTAGGGTGACTGCATTAAGGAGATGAATTTTGAGTTAGTATAGTTTTAATAGGTGGAAGGCAGAGAGTCCACTAGACCAGGAGATAAATGCTGTGAGAGGAATCTCTGGAGATTTGAAAGTCTTTTTTTTCTTTTTTTAAAAATTTCTCCTAATGCTATCCCTCACCTAGCCACCCCCTGACAGGCCCCAGTGTGTGATGTTCCCCTCCGTGTGTCCATGTGTTCTCGTTGTTCAACACCCACTTATGAGTGAGAACATGTAGTATTTGGTTTTCTGTTCTTTTGTCAGTTTGCTGAGAATGATGGTTTCCAGATTCATCCATGTCCCTGCAAAGAACATGAACTCATCCTTTTTAATAACTACATAGTATTTCACAGTGTGTATGTGCCATATTTTCTTTTTCTAGTCTATCATTGATGAGCATTTAGGTCGGTTCCAAGTCTTTGCTATTGTGAACAGTGCTGCAATAAACATACGTGTGCATGTGTCTTTATAGTAGAATAATTTATAATCCTTTGGATATAAATCCAGTAATGGGCTTTCTGGGTCAAATGGTATTTCTGGTTCTAGATACTTGAGGAATTGCCACATTGTCTTCCACAGTGGTTGAACTAATTTACACTCTCATCAATAGTATAAAAGCTTTCTATTCTCCACATCCTCTCCAGCATCCGTTGTTTCCTGACTTTTTAATGATCACCATTCTAACTGGAATGAAGTGCTATCTCCTTGTGGTTTTGATTTGCATTTCTCTAATGACCAGTGATGATGTGCTTTTTTTTCATATGTTTGTTGGCTGCTAGAAGACTATTTTGATTGGAATGCGGTGGAAGTAAAGATGGGATGGTAGGCTGTGGCCAGAATGTGGTCAGTCTCTAGTGTCAGACTAAGGAATTTTGGCTTTACTCTGTAGGTGATGGGAAGGCATTAAGAATTTCTGATGAGTAAAATGGCGATGCTGAATCTTTGAAGACTGATCCAATGGGAGTGATGGATAGATAGGCAGTTTGAATAAAAGGAGGTAAGAGCTTAAGGAAATGAAGACTAGTTGGGGAGTGACTGTCATTGTCCAGATGCAAGGTCATAATGCCCTGAGCTAGAAAAACAGCCATGGAATTAAAAATGATGATAAACATTTGTGTAGTGTTTTCATCAGTTCTTTCCTATAGTTCGTTCAAACCTCACACTGACCTTATGGTCTTTCCTTCCATACTTTATAAATGAGGGGACTAATGTTCAGAGTGAAGCTGTTGTCAAGGAGGCTTACAGAAAATGGAGGGGCCTGACTGGACGATGACCAAGCCGTAATAGGAAATTGAAGGGTGCATTGGAGATGTGGAATTGTATGTGAAGACGGTAGATTTCCTCAGTTGCTAACCCTGTCCAGTCACCAGCCATGTTGTCAGAGAGCTATTTAATGCTGTTCATGTGACTCTTCTCGCCTCTGTCCTTTAATATGCAGTTACTTATTTATTTATTTATTTTGAGACAATTTTGCTCTTGTTGCCCAGGTTGGAGTGCAGTGGCGTAATCTCGGCTCACTGCAACTGCTGAGCCAGGATTCAAGTGATTCTCCTGTCTCAGCCTCCCCGGTAGCTGGGACTACAGGCACCTGCTACCACACCCAGCTAATTTTTTGTATTTTTAGTAGAGATGTGTTTTCACCATATTGGCCAGGCTGGTCTTGAACTCCTGACCTCGTGATCCACCCACCTCGGCCTTCCAAAGTGCTGGGATTACAGGCCTGAGCCACTGCACCTGGCCTATTTCTTTTATTTATTTTTGAGACAAAGTCTTGCTCTGTCACCCAAGCTGGAGTACAGTGGCTCAATGTGGCTCCCTCTAGCCTCCGCCTCGCAGGTTCAAGTGATTCCCCTGCCTCAGCCTCCCAAGTATTTGGGATTACAGGTGTGTGCCACCATGCCCAGCTAATTTTTGTCATTTTAGTAGAGACGAGGTTTTGCTATGTTGGCCAGGCTGCTCTTGAACTCCTCACCTCAACTGGTCTGCCCAAAGTGCTGAAATAACAGGCATGAGCCACTGTGCCTGGCCAGTTACTTCTTTGCTTTTTATTTTCTTGTTTTTCTGAAAAGGATTTTATTTCTCCTTTGCTTGTGAAGCTTAGGTTGGTCAGACAGAAAATTCTGAGATGGAAATTCTTTTTTTTAAATCGTACTTTAGGTTCTGGGGTACATGTGCAGATCATACAGGATTGTATTTCTTTAAAGGTACAGTGGAGGCAAAAGAAGGAGAGGCTGTTGCTAATTCAACTTGTCTCAAATATAAATTTTCAGGTCTTTTTTGAGTGTCTTTGGGTTTTCAGATAGTTAAATTGTGTTGAATTTTAAGAGGCTTAGACTAGGTATAGATTGTCTGGAGTTGTAGGGCTGAGGATTTCCTCATCCAGATGGACTCTGCCCTGAGCAGGTTAGCTATGGCTGGTGGGTTTCCATTTCTCTTTTGATGGAGACAGGAGCCATAGGGAAGAAAACTCTGGAGCATGGTAGTGTAGACACTAGAGAACATCCCTGTGGCACTGGTAACGAGGATGCTTCATTGAGATGACACCCATATCAGAGCTGGAGTATGAATTATACCCACCACCATGCTAATTCATTTTGTTCTTTAGTCTGCTGTGTCTGTAAGGTCATCTGTTTTGTGTACCAAGATCCTGCAGCAATTCAAATATCAGTATAAATCAGCCACAAAGGTGACAAAATGTGCTTTTCCATCTGAGATACTTGTTCCTTGCGATCAAATAGTAGGAGTGCACCAGAAAGCTAAGGAAGGGTGAGAGGTACATAGGAATGAATCATCATTATGAAGAACCTTGATTAGACTTTCTCATGAAATGATGAGACATGGAAGAACAGGATGGAGACGGGAAAAGGTGAGGCGGTTGAATTCTTGTGCCCCAGGCGTTCTCAATTTGGGCACAGAGATCAACACTCATCTGCTACAGCAGGGGTGAGGGTGAAGCTGATTTTGGTAATTTGAAATGGCAACATCTATGGAAAATTAAACTGTCCCATTTTAACTTTTTTCCCTGTAGAATACTGGGATCTTCAGTGGCAGAAGAAGGAGTCATCAGAAGATCGAGATGAGTTTTAACACTATTTTGGAGGAGATTCTTATTAAAAGGTCACAGCAGAAAAAGAAGACATCACCCTTAAACTACAAAGAGCGACTTTTCGTACTTACAAAATCCATGCTAACCTACTATGAGGGTCGGGCAGAGGTAGGAGACCATCACAATTTACTTTGCTGCTTTCTGTGCTGATAAGTATTTTATAATACTGCCTCTCTCTCCAATCTTATTGAAAATGCTTTGGGTTAATGAAGTAATGATTTATTATCATTTGGATGTGAAAGATGAAGTTTAGAATATGGATAGAAATTATTAACAAATCTGTTATAATTATAGGTTTAGTATAATTAAGCTACTGAATTAATCTATTAGATGACATTACTTTTAGATCTTCATGGAATTCATAAGGTATATTGTATATATATGGCTCTCTCCTGTAAACTACCTATTATGTGTCAAAATCTTCTTTAGCAAGTATAAATTGTATCCATGTTCAATGCTTTATATGAATAAATCTTCATTATTAAGTAGAATTTACTTAAAACTGGTTAGTTATTTGGTGGACACAACAGGTCATCAAAGTTGACCTAAAGCAGAATTTATAAACATTCTTTTTGTGTGTATGTGTGTGTGTGTGATAAGCAGCTACTACAAAAGTTCCCTTGACGACAGCAGGGAGAAGCAGCTCACTAACAAACGTGGCATGGGTGAAGGTGTGGTTCGCACACATCTGGTTTGGTGGCTTTAGCTTTTCCTTCCACTGCTAGAATGAGGCCTGTAAATGTGTGGTCACCTCTGGCTCTTTTGCTCTTGACATGTTGGGTATGGCATTTGCTAGTACTGCCATGTACTGACATCTCTGCTAGAAATATCCTTGGGATCCAGGGACTGACTGGAAACTGGGTTGCCCTTGGTTAACTTTTTTTTTTTTTTTTTTGAGGCAGAGCCTTGCTCTGTTGCCCAGGCTGGAGTGCAGTGGCACAATCTTGGCTCATAGCAACCTCCACCTCCCGGGTTCAAGCAGTTCTCCTGTCTCAGCCTCCCGAGTAGCTGGGATTACAGGTGTGTGCCATCACTTCCTGCTCATTTTTGTGTTTTTAGTAGAGATGGGGTTTTACCGTATTGGCCGGGCTGGTCTTGAACCCCTGATCTCAAGTGATCTACCCACCTGGGTCAAACTGGTAGGATCACAGGCATGTGAGCTACCACACCTGGCCCTGGTTTAGTTTTAATTCTGCTTTTTTTTTTTCTAGAGTACCTTCCTCAGAAGTTGATATAGTTGTATCTATTTTCCTCCCACTGGTTTCTCTGTGGTTTGGTTTTCCCCAATTTACATAGAATGGCATTGTGTCTCAGGATGGTCCTCAACGATTTATTTCTGCTGTGGCTCATCATTGTGACCTGTGGTATTCCACAGGTTCATGTAATTAAGGACCATACTCCTTTATCCTTAAGTCCCCAAATGCTGAAAACCAAAACCTCAAAACTCTTAGTTACAAAGCCTGTGTGTGTTTTTGTATCTGTATGTGTGTATGTGTGCAGAAATATTAATGTATTTAATTACGTGGAGCTGCCCTAGTCCCTGCTGGGACTATTATTTAACATATGGTATATGTGCTATATTTCCTTTTTAAACCGAAAAATTAAAAATTTAGACAAGGACCATTAGCAGAATTGTGAATTATTTTGAAACCTAAAACAAACTTTAAAGGAAACATTAACACATTTTTGTTGTATGGTAATAATTTGTTATAATTTGATTTTAATATACAGTTGACCCTTGAACAATGCAGGATTAGGAACACCCAGCCTTGTGCAGTCAAAAATCTGCATATAACTTTTGACTCCCCCCAAACTTAACTACTAATAGCCTACTGTTGACTGGAAGTCTTACTGATGACATAGATGGTACATTACCATATATTTGGCTTGTTATATATAGTATATACTGTATTCTTACAATAAGGTAAGCTAGAGAAAACAAAATATTATTAAGATACTCCTACAAAAGAGAAAATTTACTATTTATTAAGGGGAAGTGGATCATCATATAAGTCTTGTTTCTTGTCGTCTTCACATTGAATAGGCTGAGAGGAGGAAGAGGAGGGGTTGGCTTTGCTGTCTTAGGGGTGGCAGAGGTGGAAGAGGCGGAGGAGGTAGACGGGGAAGCAGGAGAGGGAGGCACACTCTGTGACTTTTACTGAGAGAAAAATCCCTCTATAAACGGACCCACGCAGTTCAACCCCATGTTGTTTAAGGGTGCACTGCAGTAAGTCTAAGAAAATAAGTGCTGCCGGACGTGGTGGCTCAAGCCTGTAATCCCAGCACTTTGGGACGCTGAGGCGGGTGGATCACAAGGTCAAGAGATCGAGATCATCCTGGTCAACATGGTGAAACCCCGTCTCTACTAAAAATACAAAAAATTAGCTGGGCATGGTGGCGCGTGCCTGTAATCCCAGCTACTCAGGAGGCTGAGGCAGGAGAATTGCCTGAACCCAGGAGGCGGAGGTTGCGGTGAGCCGAGATCGCGCCATTGCACTCCAGCCTGGGTAACAAGAGTGAAACTCCGTTTAAAAAAAAAAAAAAAAAAAAAGAAAATAAGTGAAAGTGATAAAATGCAATTTTTTTACTAATCAAAAAAGTCTCAGAAACTGTCATTGTTTGCTTCACAGTATGGGCAGATACCATTGAAATACATTGCAATTGCGAACTCACTTTGAAGAAGATAAACATGTCAAGTTTAAAGTACCCCTTTTGCTTTAGCTTAAGGAGAAAGAGGACAAAAATGGCATCCCTCTTCCTTCTGAACCTGGCTCACCATCTTGCCCTGGAACAGCTTCAGCCACCCTGAGAACCAGAAAGGACAGAATGAGGAGGTAGTCATGGCACAGAAACACCCAGCCTTTAACACTTCCTGGCAGAGCTCACCTCCTTTCCGGCTGCTGCTGCCTGGCCCAGAGAGCTGAGTCCTGTTACTTATTCCTGCCTTCACCCCCACTCCTCTCATGAGCTGGCCATTTTCATCCCTTGTGGTTTCTTGTCTCATGGACCAACATTCACTGGCGTACTTGTGACCTATGGCTTGAAACGTGGTCACAGATTTGTTGGCCTCTCATAGTGAAATAATTGTCAATAGCAAAAAAAAAAAAAAAAAAAAAAAAATCAGGCTTCTTAAAATAATAAAACTTTTGACAGTGCTGAGCTAAATTCCCTAACAACTCTCTGCCTGGCTTCTAGGCATGGCCAGCAACACCCTGTTTCCTCTGTGTTTGCGCTAGTATGCTCAGTTCACTGTTTGCTGTGGATGAATCTTCTCATTTCCATCTCCCTATCCCTGAAAGCTGCGATTCAAAAAAGGATATGAGGGCTGGGCAAGGTGGCTGACACCTATAATTCCAGCACTTTGGGAGGCTCAGGTGGGTGGATCACTTGAAATCAGGAGTTCGAGACCAGCCTGGCCAACATAGTGAAACCCCACCTCTACTAAACATACAAAAAAATTAGCTGGGCATGTTGGTGGCACGTGCTTGTAATACCAGCTACTCAGGAGGCTGAAGCAGGAGAAATGCTTGAACCCGGGAGACAGCGGTTGCAGTGAGCTGAGATTGTGCCACTGCACTTCAACCTGGGCAATAGAGCAGGACTCCATCTATAAAAGGAAAGAAGGAAAGAAAGAAAAAAGGATGTGATATGAGTAATCTGTGCAAATCAACAGGTTTTTAAAAATAATATTTTGTTAAAAAATATGACTCTAGAAGTAAATTAGAACCACAGGGGCCATTTGGGAATAAAATAAATAGCCCTAGAGATATTTATTTTCATTGTTTATAGTTCTCCTGTTTTCAGTAGAACAACAATGAGGAGGCTGTTGATTGATCTAGTAGCTATGATTTGTAGTTTATTCGTGGCCCCAAGTGCCACTACTACTCTGTTAAAACTCTCAGTTCATAATGTCAGACAGGAGACATCTCTCTTCTTATTCTGCAACATGATGACAGTAAGCTTTTCTTGAAATTCTTCCTGTTACATAATAAACCTTAATGGGCTTTTTTGAAATATGCTGAGAAATCCTATTCTAGATGAAAAGAAATTCAGTCAGACCATTTCCTCAATTTCCTCAAAGTCTAATTTTGTAAAACTTGTATTTCAATTTCCGCTGTGGGTCATTCTTTAGTTTGTCTTCCTTTCTCTATGCTAGTTAGTTAATTGACTTATGGTAGTTAGTTAATTCTGCATTTTCCAGTGAACTGAAAAAAGATCTTCTGGCAGTTTATATTATTTAATCCTATTCAAAATAACACAGAGCAAAGGACACTGGAGGTTTCATAAGTGACGTTGCTTTCTAGTCAGGAGGCTAAATGACACAGGGGACAGACCACCTGATGTTTCAGTGGAAGCTCCATGGGATAATGAGATGGGAGCCAGGGAGGGGCAGCGCTGGAGTTTGGTCAGGAAAAAGATCTACAAATAATGGTAAGAAACATGAGGAATAGATTTCTATAGGTTGAGATGCTGAATTTAAAAAATTGTAGTATGTTAATTTGCAACTATTGTTAGTGAAGAAATCAGGAATTTTTAGAGTTGGACTTTGGAACTCTTCATTTGGTTGGCTTGTTGTCTGTTACACTGCCCCAGTATGGAAGCTGGCAGAAAACTTACAACGTTGAGGGAATTGGGAAGCTCATGCCAGGGATCTCAACTCCTCTTGCACGTTCAGTGATTCACCGTGACGACTCACAGGACTCAGCATTGGGTCATACTCACAGCTGTCATTTATTACAGCAAAAAGATTCAAAGCAGAATCAGTAAAGGGAAAAGGTGTGTGGGGTCAGGCGTAAGCTTCCAAGCATCTTATCCCGGTAGAGTCCCAGAGGATGTACATAAAGCATCAAATTGTGGTAATTATGAAATGTGCTCTTAGAGACTCAGTGCCCAAAGTTTTTGTTGGAGGCTGCTCATATAGGTGTCCCATGCCTAGTGTACCAAAGTTCCAGACTCCAGAAGGAAAGCAGGTCTTCAGCATGACTACATTGCTTGTACGGTTTAGGTACAGTGATCCACCTCATCAGTGTTGGGAATAGTGGGATCCTCCCAAAGTCCAAATTCCCAGATGCCGCACAAGGACCAACCTTGTAAACAGGCCTTTCTTG